AGCACAGGTTGTAATAACCACTCCATGGCGCACCACCACTTTCAAAATGACCTCTATCACACCAGGGTTACAAAGCCTTTACCCTGAATTTTCAGAAATAAGAAAATACTGGGGAAAAGTAGTAATTTATTGGTCTTACATGGCATCATTATGGTGAGGTAGTGGCTGTGATGCCTACTCCCCTCCACAGAAGGGATGCTAGAGGCATGACTTGCTGGCAAACGCTCACTGTAAGTGCTCGTGCCATTTTTTTCAGTGCTGCTTTCCTGTCATGATGATGGTGATCCATCTCACCCAGATGGCTGGGTTGGATCTTAGATGCTGTTTTTGCTTCCTGAACAGAGGCACGAGGAGCAGGCATTATGGCAGCGTAGAAGTAGTGGGTGGAAGTCATGGTTTCATAATTGGTATTACACAGTGATCACCAGCATGTTAGCTGTGGCCCCTGACATGGAATGACCTGGTGTAATCAAGAATTGCACATAAGAGAGACTACTTACGCGTGTGTTAGACTTGAATAACTGAAAGGGTGAAACAGCTACTGCAACAAGGTGCTGTACACCAATACTCAGTTCTTGCATAGTTGTTTCTCTTTGGTGGCCACTAGTCATTGGAGGGGGTGAAAAGCATGGACAGCAAGGCAGTCAGCAGCAGCTGAACCTGGGACCAGGTCTTGTTCCTTAGCACAACTTGCAAAGATGGTATAGGTATATCCAGCGTATACTCAGTATGTTTGGGACTTTCTTAAACACATCAAATGAGAGATTTTTTATATTGCAGAACTTACAGTACGCAACACTAATAACATGGTTCATATGATTCTTCATAATTCATCTCCATACTGACTTCCTTAAAAAAAACAAACAAACAAAACAAAACTGTTGTCACTACCTACTGACAGCAAAATTCTGTAGAGGTTGTTGGTAGTTGAGAACTATGAGAAAATGCCCCAATGTATAAAACTTTCCCTTTTTCCAAGAATAATCACTTTCCATCTTTCTGGTCTTACTCATAAAATGAAGTATTAGAACAAAAATGTGTGGGGTTTTTCTGAATTAGAGTCTGCAACATATTTTTATAGTTAGTGACATGTCTTTTCTAAATTGTGCTCTGTCACTGCTCTCTGAAAGAGAAGCAAGTAGTCCTGTATGTGTGTGTATGACTTCCCTGAGGGTGCCACCCAGGGTGCCAAACAATAATACCCACTTCTTTGACTATACAGTTTTATTTCCATTGCTGGATTACAAGTGCTGTTGTAAATCCTACTAAACATCACAGGTGAATTCCATGGATATTTATTTTTTTACTAAATACTTGGAGAGGTACAACCGGAGATTAAGATGATGTATTGGATTTTCCTTAAAAAGAGCTTTCTTTAAGTAATGCCTCAGTAGACTTTATTGTAGTGGGTACTTCACAAGTGTGATGGCAAAACCAAATCTGTTAAATCACAGGGAATGGGAAAATTCCTATGAGTATGAAATCCCCCGCACACTCTAGGAAACACAGAAGCAACAGACGTGGTGAAGTAGGTCTACTTAAGTTAAGCACACTTTGCGGAAAAAAGTTGTAACTGTTTATTTTATTTTTAGCAAAGTAAAATTTTGAGTGGCAGTTCTCATGACTGTACTGAGCAAGCAGTTTGTTATTATGGGGGATAGATTATTTCAGAAAGAAAGAAAATTTCCAAGGACAAATTTTATTTTCTTCATTTTAACACCCGGAGATTCATTTAATAGAATCAGTCAATCATTAAATGTGATTGTGCAAATGGAGGTAAATGACATACAAGAATGTCCTCCTTTTTCCCCTAATCAAAACATGTGTTGAAGACAGTGGGCAAGATGATATGACCAGTGTACAAAAGGCAGTGAGTTAATGCCAGGTAGGAAACATTTACCTTGATGCTATCAGTGATCCCACAGTCTCAGATTGAATGCTTAGGTAAGATACTAGTTAAGAGTGGAATGATATATTTGGGGACATAATAATAACTGTATTCACCACCAAAAGTATCTTTAGTTCCCTTCACGTGTGAATCTAAATATTCCAAAACAGTGAGCAGGATGCAAGAAGCATTCTTTTCTATCTAATGTGGTTCAAGAAAGATCATCCCAAACAAGAACTCAGTGTATGATTTGGTGCTTTGAAAGATTATCCTGAAGCATATCCAGTCACTTTGCAACAAATCTGAAACTGCTGCCACAATATACTAGTGCCAGTCATTGAACAAAAAGGAAAGAATGGGATGACTTAGCATGATGAAAAGGAATCCAGAAATAAATATACTAATTTTGTGATATTATTTTTCCCTATACCTCACGCTCTTCTATTCTTTGTCTTCAGCAAGCAATATTTGTCTCTCTTGCCATCCTTGAACAACTAGTGACTGTATCTCCATTCTTCTTGATAACAACCATCTCTGTTCCACATTTGAAACATAGGTGTCTCTTGTTATGTCGATAAATGAGACAATCCAAGCTAAACTCACAGCAGTTGTTTTTTAACCTGCCCTTGCTTGCATAGCTGCTGCATTTCAGACCTAAAGGTTGGTGGTCAAACCTTAGTTCAGTAATATATTTGTTGGCTCTAGCTCTACTGATTGATCCTTATTTTGGTTGATGTCAGCATGAATGAGATTGGGTTTGGATATGAAACCCTTAGTTCATAGTCATCTTTGAGAGCAAAGCGCAGGAAAGGGGAGCTGCCGGGGTGGGTCGAGTCGCTGCTCCTGAGTGGGCTCTTCTGACTGGATTGATCTGTTCTTGTGTCAGGGTAGAGATGGCTGCTGTGAGTTGTACATCTCAATCAAAAAATAAATGGGATGGCCTTCTGTACCGTAGCTGCTTCTTTTTCAGTACATACAGGCCAGCATCGTTAGATCTGGGGGTTGTTTTCCAGATTGATTTGGCCTACATAGAAAACCATGTTCATCATTCTTCCTGTTTTCAAGTGTTTTGAGAAGCAGCAGGCAGAGGTATGTAACATGAAGAAGGCTTTATCTTGTGTAAAAGAGGTCTGTCAAAGACAGGGAGTAACAAAAGACTTTTCAGAACTCCCCTGTCAGGCTGTTAAGCAGGTATGGACACCTTCTGTTTTGTCTTCCATTTTAACTGGGAGTTCAAACACCCAGTGGGGTTAACAGCAAGAGCAGAAATAAATACATTGTTCAGAGTCTTTACAAAATACCCAATGCAGATGCAGTTGCTGTCTCACAAACAGAAGCTGAGGGGAGCTGAAGGTGATCCCTTACATTTTGAAGGGGTTGCCTGTTTGCACAGTTTCTCCATTTGTGTGTTGCGTGGCCAGAACTTGCACATAGATTATTCAGGTTAATTTAGACCAAGTAAATTGTTAAATTTCTTTACGCTTATTTCTGCATTAGTCTTTTGTTCAATCTTATACATACTAAAGCAGCATAAAATGTTCAGCAGCATTGGACAGTGTTTAGTACATGACTTATTTTACTCAGCTTTTGGATATATTTATGAAGGCTTCTTAGGAACATGATTTAGTTAAACAGCCTTTTTCTTGCATCAATATCACTAAAAATCAATGTGAGATAGGAGGTTTGTGGATTCTTGTAAAGCGTTTATCATCTTTGTCTTCTTGGAAGAAGCAATTGATTGTTTCACATTGATGTGAAGTACAGGAGTTAAAATTTTCACAGAGTGACTAGCGTCTTTTCTTTTTCAACCACAACTTTACATAAAGCTGGGAGGTTTTTTGCAGTAGCTTTACAGTAGCCATAACACAGTTACTATACTGACGATAGTATTGAACAGTATTTTTGTATTGCAATTTTAGTGTATTTACTATTTAAAAGAAACTAATCTGCACTAAACAGCTTTTTGGCCAGGCAGAGCCTCAGGTGAAAATGAGCTCAGCTCCTGGCACTGCGCTGGCACACTTGCTCCAGGGGCAGTGGCTAAGGAGCCCCCGAGCGAGGCTGTAAGAGAGCAGGCTTCTGAAGATCTGAGTGTACGTGTAGCAACATAGCATGATGCAGTGTTTTATATTGTAAGAGGAACAGTCATACAGAAAAACATGGCTGCATAATTCTATCTTGTATAGGGTGCCTGTAGAAGAGAAAGAGGAGATATGGGAAATTGTTTTCCTTTATTTGAAGTAATGAACATGATATATGCATGGAACTGAAGTTTGGTAAAATTATTGCCACTAATAATGCATATTTTTTCATTATTGCCAAATATGGACAGTTAAGTGAGTTAGGCTGGCAAACTTTCACCTCTAAAATATGAAAATACGCTTTCCTGGCTGTTTGAATTTACTGAACATCTGAAAAATCTCTGATTGGTGACCATGTTCATGTAGAAAGTATGATAGAAAGTAGTGTAAATAATATTACCAGGTTAATGCAGTCAATGTTAAATTACTGCTTTAACACTGAAATAAAGCTGTAAACCTGGTTTCCTTAAAAAATACCCATGGCTGTGTATATCACCCTCCTAATATTAAGTTAATACATAATATGGAGTGTAATCTCTAATGGTATCCATAGGTGGCATAAATCTAGATTAGTAATCTTCAGGTCTATCTTTGGTTAGATGAAAGCAAACTGGAACTTCATTATGAACAGGGACTGAAACAGAGATTGTATACAGATCAAAATTTCAATGTATTTTGCTTTGTCATATCTGTGAGTCTTTACTAATAGTTCATTCTTAGTAAGTTGAATCATATGTTTTAAAAATTGAAAAGTATAGGTCAATTTAGTCATTCAAGATCACCTTCTGCATTTATAATCACAAACAATACAAATCATTTATGCTCAATTGACTTTTGCAACCCTACTTGTGCTTTATTTGAGTGAAAAAGCACAAATTTAAAAATCTGAAATTTGAATGAACAGGAGAAATTTGTCATATAAAAGCCTTTTCACTCTCTGCAACATCACAGGACAAAATCAGTAGCTATTCTCATGAGTTGACAGTCATTCTGGAGTAGATAGTTCAGTGATTTTTGATTTGTTTCCACAGGTTTTCAATACATACTCTAATGAAGACTATGACAGGAGAAATGATGAAGTTGACCCAGTGGCTGCATCTGCTGAATATGAACTCGAGAAGCGTGTGGAAAAGCTGGAGCTCTTCCCAGTTGAACTAGAAAAAGGTATGGAGTTCTGTGTGCCATTTCCAGTTTGTGTGACTCAGATCTACAAGTCTGAGGAAGTCCACACATGCCTACAGAGTCTGTCTTGGATTTCCATTAATCTGTTGTAGTCACAGTGACTTTTTAGATTTCAAGAACTGTTCAGTTCAGAGATACGCCATTCTTTATTTCTCTAAGGGAATTGGTTTGTGTCACTCCATTAACACATGATTTTACAGTGTTTGATGCAATGTTTTCATTCACCATTAGAAGAGCAAAATCCTGATTGTCGTTCTGAGCTCCTCATAAGGGTGAAGGTGATACAACAATGAAGGTGGTATTTTTTGTCTATAATTAAAATGGTAGACTAATAAAAGTTTTTAAAAGGAAGCAAATGGATATTAATGTTACTGACATGGAAAAACAGGAGGAACCAAATCATAAATGTTTTATCTACCAAATAACTATACAAAGAAAATATAAGAAGTTTCTGCTTTTGCTTGCCTTTTTCACAGATGAAGATGGACTTGGCATAAGCATTATTGGAATGGGAGTCGGAGCAGATGCAGGCCTTGAAAAACTGGGAATATTTGTCAAAACAGTAACAGAAGGTGGGGCAGCAGAAAGAGATGGCAGGTAAACTAGACTCAGTAGTTGGACATTTTTCCAGCAATAGTTATTATGAATTGCAGTTTTCATAGGAAAGAGTTGTTCACTTAATATGTGTTATGATAACTCAAAGTTTTAAAATTCAGAGACTTCACTGGTAGGGTTCAAAATCCTTGATATGGTTATGATAAGACACCAGTTTGGTGCACCGAGTTTAAGCTGTTTAAAGAGAACAGATTTGCCAAAGATGTGTGTTAGTGACTACTGAAAACCCAGATGCTTTAGCATGAGTAAAGCTGGAGATTCCAAACTGTGTACCACTTTTGAGGGTAGTTTAGTTTTTAAAGGTGTTCAGCTCACACATGTTCTTTTGGCTTCAAACCAGCCTTAAACAATCAGTACTTATGAAAAAGAGTTCTGATCAACATTGGATTAGGAAAATAATTAGTGTATATGACTGCTTAAACTCATTAAATACATCTCTTTTCAAGTTTACTAACACAGGCTGTTACTTTGTATTTCTTACTCTGCTCCAAAGTTCAGTTTTCACCCTACAGCACTGAAACTACATTAATCAATTGGAATAGGAAGCAATGCTATAAATCTTGCCCACTAAAGAAACGGTGTTTGTAGTCTTACACAATGCTCACATAAAACCCGGTTGCTTCTAGAATTGCTTACTTGGTATGTGCAGTTCACAGAATTCCTTTTGAACATACAATATTTCCTATTATATGGGACAGAGTTACCTGTGTATTACACAATACCTCCCACAATCAGGCCAATGTTTCTCATTAAAAGTTAGAAAAACACTCTACTTTGTAATAATGTAATAATAATAAGTATTAAACATCCTCCAAGCCATATAATTTGTTGTTTTTCCCAATACATACCCTTTGTAAATTAATCAAATTAACAAATTAAATCAACGGGCTCTATATAGCAGAGAGTTGCTGAGTTTAATAACGTTGCTCTGAAACTGCTGAAATATATGGTCTTCCAGATTGGGCTTGCAGGTATCTTTATAGCTCTTGGCAGTAAGATACCAGGTTGAAGGGTGAAGTAGGGATTTATCATAGGCTTAAAAATTATGGAAGGAAGTGAGGAAGCTGACACCTCAAGATGTCATGACTTCATCCATTACTTGAAATTTAAGTGAACTTTTTACTGAAAGGTATGCTTGAGCTCAACCAGAAGGCATGAAGCTCACGGCTGACATTCTGTATTAAATTTTCTGGTTGAGAATCAGAGTCGCTCACTACTGCTCTATGACGATCTGTATTTTCTGTTCTTGTTATTCACATGTTTGAGTGGGCTACAGAAGTTAATGTTCAATTACAAGTCTCTTCTTTCATTTCCCTAGATGGCATCTGAAAGGAGCTTGTCAGCTGAGAAAAAATAGTATCTTTCTTTGACCATTCTTATATTTGTGTTGGTTTTCAACTGACTCAGTGTTCAGTCAGCTGAGAAATAGCCTTCTGATTTTCTCTTTGAGAGCCTGACTGATCATTCACTTGGGAAAGGTATATGTAATCCTCTGTCAGGAGCAGCTGGTTTTGTAATAAAGTGTATCAACTGTAAGGGGTCCTGTTAACTTCATCTTTGTGAAAAGCCTAGTTAATCATTAACACTGATAGAAAAATAAAGTTTCCTAACAGAAAATAAAACTATATTTCAGCAGTTGCATAAGACATTCTGAATAAGTGCCTAGAAATCTTCAGGCAAGCACTTCTAAAACTGCAGTTTAAAACATTACAATATCTATCAGGTAATTCCCATCTTTTATTGAAAGACCCATTGAATCGTGATATAAAGTACTTGCCTCCCATCAAAACCCAAAATCTGTGCAAACGGGTTTCTCAGTGATTGAGCAGTGCTGGCTTGGTTCATGTTGATGCAAACAAACAGGTAGTGTTTAGTTATCATATCAAAAAGTATTTAGCCAAGGAGGGTGCTTCAAGATGAATCCAAAGGCAAGGATGTTGATAAGTAATAAGAGAGATTATTAAATTACGTAAAATAAGAAATTAATCATTAGACTGCATATAAAAAATAAAATATTTTCCTGGATGAATTCATAGCTGCTTCTTTTAATTTATTGTGATGATGGGTCATTCATATATTAAAGTATTTTGATAACATTGAGAACAACAGTTTTGAAACATTACACGGGTCTTAACTTGAAAAATATTCTAAACGTCTCTGCACAGATTAAATTTTTCAGTTCATCATATAGAGCAGTAATAGTGCAAGTAATTTGTTCAATTTGTGCAAGTGATGTTGGTTCACTTCTGTAGTTGCTACTTCATTGAAGTGCTGCTTCACTAGGCAAAGATTTAAGTCATGAGCATTAGGAAATAATTATCAGAAGAATTACCAATTTCATTAATGATCAAAGCATTTAAGCAGCTATAATTCAGGCTTTTCCAGCCTGAGCCCAATTTTTCATTCATGTTTGAAATTTGACTTGGTAGACAGAGGAAGTCTAGATCTCCTGAGGGAGGGGGCTCTGAAGGGAAGGCTGCCCAGAGAACATGGATATTTTGGTCTCTGGTGCCTGGGGAGGCTTGTCGGGGGGCTTAGGGCTACGCTGCAGGTACGGAGCTGCGGTGGGAGTGGGGCTGGAGAGGGGATGCCCAAGGAAGAGGAAGGCAGCCAGGAGAATATGGCTGTGAGGGTATTTTAGTCTGGGCGGTATAAAATGTACACGGGAACAGACAGGAAACTAATTTTTAAATTACATGTAATTATATAATTTGAATAACAATTATGTTACTTGTGTGTTGTTTCATATGTATGTTTATAGATAATTAAAATATGTATATAGAAAGGAGGTTTGGCAAACAATGGCCATAAAAATAAGAGTTGAAAATTAATTTAGGAGCTGTACAAACAAGAAATATGCCTGAAGGACAAATGGAATCAGACTGAATTGCAGTAGATCAAGATAGAGCCACTTACAAAGTTGCAGACAACAGTTCTCTAACGTGACGTTTCATCACCTGAAATACTGGAACTACGTATCTGTTTGAACACTGCTAGTCCACTGCACAGTGAAGTATGTAAAGTGTTGTAGCTAAACTGCCATCAAAAAGTAATTTGTTCTTCCACCATTTACTTTTCAGCCAGCACAGTAACAGCTTCCCGCTCAGTGGCCACCAACTTCTTAAACTTTTCTGGGAATTTTTGCAGCCATCTGACTGCAACTCATGTTTGCTAAAGTAAAAAAAAACAACCAATCAAAAAAAAAAATATTTTTTACAGTATCAAAATACAAAAAATATTCATGTGATTGGTGTATTTATTAAATGCTTTAGTGAAAACTGAAATAAAATTCTGAGGTTAAAATGCCTGATATGATTTTCAAGGTAGGAGTTTATAGGCTGTCACAAAGATAGTTTTTTCAAGGTTTCTTATATACAGGAGGGAGATGCTGCCCAGGACACGGTGACATTCTGTGGTGTGAGACTGCTAAAGAATAAACCTTACTCATCAGTGGAGTCTAAAGAACTGAAGATACTACTTGAACACATGTAGAATTGCAAAGCATTGCCTCAGACTTGACAGCGAAATTAGTGCTACAAGTCAGAAAGCTTCAGCCCTCTTTTGAAGCCTCCTTTGTTCTTTGAAAAGAAGTCTTACCACCAAGATATCCTAAGTTATTAAATAATTTAGGTATTTTTATGTAATTTAAATTGGATTTTTTCATAGCAGTTTCTTGGTTCCTTTTTAAACTGTTTCATTTGGATCAGTGGCATCCATGTAAGTACTTGAAAATTGCTCCCTTTGACTAGTTCTGAATGTGCTTAGTTTTGGTTTTTCAATTTTTGAAACTATAAGAGTTCATGCATTTCTGGAGGACATTTTAGCATAGCAGTCCTCCTTCCAAGCATTTGTAATCCAGATGAGTCCAACGCCTTGTCAAGGGATTTTGTAGCAGTGCTTGTTTCAGATAAAAGCAGCATGTTTTTTATTCTGCCTAGCTTTTCCTGCATCAAACAGTGCATCGATTTTAAATTGGTGTTTGGTTTCAAAGAGAGAGTCCTCTTTAGAGCAGTACAAGGTCTTGTTATTGTGTGTAGCAAGATCACACTTACACTGGAAATTCATCTTTTTGGAGCAAGTTAGAGGAAATATTTTAAGACAGTATGTCACAATTAAGTCTGATGCACAAGCTCTTTTCTCCACAGATGAGCAGGTTGTTTCAGTTAAATATCACATTTTTTTTCCGTTAGTGTGAAATACCAGAGCTATGTCTTATGCTGTTTTTCAAGATTGGTTTAGGAAAGAATGATATAAGCACAGTTCAAGTGTCTTGTTTAATTTAAGTCATATGACAAATTCCAGAGTTTGTGTTGCTGTATTTATATACAAGGAAAGTGACTGGATGATTGATGCTATTAATTGTAATGGTAACTTTGAAGCTGGATTTATGAGATGTCTGCATGAAAGAATGATGCTTTTTTCATATTTACCTCAATTATTTTATGGCTGAGTTTTTGTTTTAAGTCTTTGTTTAAGATCAAACTTAGAAGATTTCTCTGTGCTGTTTTGCTGAAAATTCACCAAGAATTCACACAGTTATTTATGTACTTGTGTTTCTCCCTGAAAGGATCCAAGTGAATGACCAAATTGTGGAAGTTGATGGCATCAGTCTGGTTGGTGTTACGCAAAATTTTGCTGCAACTGTTCTTAGAAACACCAAAGGGAAAGTCAGGTGAGTATTTTAGAAGAAAAAACCATGTGATTGAATACTTAAGATTATCTGTCTTCTTTCACAGGAGTGTCAGTATGCCCAGGTGAAATCAGAGTTTTTGGGCCTCTTTGTGTCTTCTCGGCTTTTATCTCAAGACAGGGACAAGCTATGGTATTACAGATTTTTGTTCTGGCTAAGATTTCTAAAATATGACCACTGAAACAAGTCAAAATTGCACATAGAAGATGACTCTTCACTGGTCTCCATGGACCTCAGATTGTTTGTATTATCTGGAATGATGAAGGTCATGGGTGTTGGTCACTGCGTGGCCACTGGTCTCCTCCCTGCTCTTCCACTGGGGAGACTGGCCACGTTACTGCCCCAAGGTGAGAGGAGTAAGGTGGTGAGCACTATGGTGCTTGCAGATGCCACCTCAGCACAGGAGAAGAGAGTACTGGATGCAGCAGAGTTAACAGCGGATGAATTGAGGACAGTAACATCCCAGTATTAATTCACTGAGCTACCTGAGTCCCTGCACCATCTCCGAGTTTCCCTCAGTTCTTACTCTGTGGTTCATTGAAAGGCATCCCTGTAAAAATCCATACAATAATGAATAGGCTAGAAAATGTAACATATACTGCAAGTAAAATTCTGAAATAATGTAAATACAAGGCTGTAAAACATTTGTAAATTAATAAGAACAGTGTATCCCTAGAAATGAACTGTTTTGCCATTTAAAAGTCTATGCAGTCACATAGCTTTTCTGTTTAATAGCTTATTAATTTCAGTAAAGATTTAACTCTACAAAACAAATCCAAAAATATCTTTGGCATATTGCAAAGCAACAGCCATTCTGTAGTCACCCTTCAGTCCTCTCTCAAAATCCTCTAGGGAATACAGCTGAATTCTTTAATAAATGAGTTCAGGGCTGACTTCTTTTGAACCATGACTAAACTACTGGTGGTTACATACGCAGTCCCCCTCGATGCTGGTGCTATATGCTGGTATGCACATTTCCACTATGATTTCATAGCTGTTCCCACACGACATTAAGGAATAATGTTGGGATGGGGATTCTGCAAAGAATTTTGGGGGTGGTTGATCAAGGTTTTATCTGAAAGAGGTTAAGAAAAAGGTTACTGGAAACTGTAGTGTAATTATAGGTGAATATATTTTTGTGTAACATTCACAGTTTTAGTTATATCAGTGCTATTACTGCAAAGACTCACACATGCTGTGAGTGTTCCTACTGAGTTAACTATAAAAATTAGTATATACTTTATTAGGTTTTCTGCAGAGTTGAGACCTTCGAACATAAAATCTTCATGTCAGGGAATAATGCCTTCCTGTGTTTTGGCACACAAAGCAAATCCTATGCATATTTTGTGTTTGATGTTTTAGCTCAAAAAAAGGCATTCACAGAAAATATATGTATTATATACATATATAATCATCTTAGTTTGTGTAATTATTATTGCATAAGTTGAAGAATAGAATACTTGCTTCCATGGAAAAATAATGGGTTTGGAGGAAGGAGAAAACAGAATGATTTTAACACAGAATGCTCCCAGAATCTTCTCTTGGGAAGTAAGTTACAGTCAAACTGGTTGCAATCTAGACCCTTTTGTCACAAAATAGCAGACTATAAAAAGTACTTTTTCACTGTTGTTGAGCTCACATTGTCAAGTGTACTGTGTATCCTGTACACTGGGATCACTGAATTTTGACAGGACTCATTATCAAGGAGATGTGTGTGATTCTGCATTTTCACTTGTAAGTAGCCTTAAGATATTGACCTTTCACAGGAAAAATGATCCAGTGCATTAGTGTCACAACTGAATTAAAAGACTTCATAAAATAATATTAAATAAAAAATAAAATTTAAAATATATTATATATGATGTATGTTAATATATAATGTTAAAATATGTTAAAATATTAATAACTAAATAATAATAATAATGTTAAAATATTGTTTAAATTGTTAAGATAATGTTAAAATATTAATAACTAAAATAGATATATAAGAATCTATGCACACTAGCATACTGTGTGGTTAGCAGCATCTTACTAATGTATATGTCTAACTAGAGGAAACAAATGGCTAGAATTTGGTGCAACTATCCCTATTTTTGTTTCATTTAAAACTTCATGGGAAAAAAATCAGAAAGACTACTATTCTCCTTTATGCAGGCCAGCTGGGAACTGCATGATTTTTTTTTCCTGGTTTGTGGTAGACTGGGCGCAAGAATTGACGAGATGGCTCAGCATTGTGTGGCACAGGCTCCTTCCTGGCTTCTCGTCAGGTCCTGGACTGTAGAGTTGTCTGGTGCTCTGCTGGTGCTGATGAACTGTATTGCTTTTAGCTACCCAAAATCATAAATGCTTCCAGAAAGCTGTTTTTTGGAGATAGAAATTTCAGGATGCTTGATGTTTTGGCTTCACTGGAGGTTTAAACATTTGCTTGTAAAGTAAGTGAGAACTAATATTGATTAATTTAGATATGAAATAAAATGGCGTATTTTTATTTTGCTGGCTATTTTGCCTCATGACAGAAGAGCTGTGCCTGCTGCTTGTTTTGTGGAGGGAACAATTGTTTTCTGACAGATCCTCTTTCCCTCCTACACCTGTGTTGGAGCTGGGATGGAGAAATCCCTCGTCTCCACCCTCTTTGGCAGACAGTGCTCACCTCTGCAGCTGAACTGCTCCAGAACCCTGGGGACAAGATAAGAGGATCTTCTGGGGGAAAATCCCTCGCTTGGCCGCAGCTGCCAGCTCCTGCCTGCTGGCAGTGCGGGGAGCAGCACTGCTGGCCCCTGCGTGCACGGGTCCCCTGGCAGCTGCCATCAATGATCCGCATCGCTGTGGGAGGCAGGAGCATTGGAAAAGGTTGTTGCTATATAAATACCTTCTGCCGTTCCTGCGGCGGGTGTCCCAGCTGAACTATAAGCGTATAGGCAGTGTGCGGTCGTGCACCCCACCTAATTCATGGCAAGGCAACTTCATGAATCCTTCTTTCACAGGAGAAACCACATACACACTTACTTGCATGTCTGCTATTTAATAGTGTCATTTTAATGGATTTTAGAGAACTGGTTTAATAAGCATAGTTATCTTTGTGATCGTAGAATAAACTGTGTGTACCTTTCTTCTGCCCCATGTCCTGTACAACACAGAGATTTGTGTGCGATTCACTGGCGTTAATTCACATGTATAACCCACAGCATTGCATACACGCTCATTTTGTCCTTAATCTGGTTCAAGTGCATGCTAGTTTTTGTAGCAGGGTTTACTATGTGAGATCAGTTGCATAGAAAGGACATTGATGAACAGAATGACATTAAAGCTACTGCTTAATTCTTTGCAATAAATGCAGTCAATACCTCTTCAGGGAGCTTGCATAATACCAGTACTTAGTGATTTATTTTTCTCCTTTGAGCCTTCTGAACACTTTGAATGATCCTGACAGTGGAAGCCATTGACCTAGAATAGATTTTTGCAATGTTTCTGCCAGAAAAATGTATCCAGACTGTCTGTGGCTGACACAGTAAAGAATGTGTGAAAATGAAGACATGGTTTTACCTTTTGAACTGTTCTGGGTGAGGGCGAGAGGTGGGGAAAGAAGAGCAGATACAAGCATCTATGATTATTTTATCCATTGTTTGAAGTATTGGACTACGGAGAAGAGTTGTCATATCATTATGGAGGATTACTGACCCAAACAATTTGGCTTCTACAGTGATAGTAAATTCAATTATTCTTTCTTACAGTGTTTTATAGGAAGATAATCAGCACCCACCAGATGTACTCTGGTAGCCTATGAGACAAAGGAAAGAGGGAATTCTTGCATAATCCCAGCTGGCAATCTGCTTCTGTTTTTAGGGGTGAAAATTAGTGTCCTTATGACCCTAATCTGGCAAATACCACTATGAATACTTTTTCAATTGATATAAATATTAAGTCATCTTTATAATTTTTTTATTTAGTTTACCACTATCTCATATTAGGGGATTTCAGAATTTGATTATATACAGGAGAAATTTTCTTTTGAAATGTTTGTTGTTTTTCAATATTGTTGAGTGTTGCCCCTGCTCTAAGATTAATGGATCAGAAGACAGTGCCAGACTAATATCACTAATTGTTTTGTGCTTCTTCTGACTCCATTTAGGATGGAATCCATCAATTTGAAAGCTTGCTAGTGGTGCCTACATTCATAAAAGATAGGATAAGGAGGCAACTTGACAGTGGGAATCTTACCCTGTCATGGAGCTTCTCCTGTGATATTCTGCTTGCAGTCTCCTCATGGACTATGGTGCTGAGTAGCAGACCTGACGTTCTTTAAAGTTGCTTGGGTGATGTTGAGCCTCTGTGACCCCACCCTTTGCCCCTGTTCATCATAATGAAAAGATGCTAGAGGACCCTAATTTCTTCACCAACAAAAACTCACTGGCAGAGTTGTATGCTGCCAGGGAATTCTGTTTTTCTCTTGAACACACTCATGAGAGAGAAAATCTAGTTATTTTACACAGAAAACGTTGTCCTTTTACCATACTTGGCTAGTCTTTGTCCTTGCTAGGACAAATATGGGAGCTTTCAGTGGGGAATGTGCTTCTCTTCACTGGATGCAAAGATGTGTGCCCATGCAGCTCTGGGAAAGGCAGGGTCCCAGGAAAGAAGGACATGGCCCTGGGAAGACGTACCGCATTGATAAGTAGAAACGGTCTTGCATGAGAGAGAGTCATCAGAAAATCCCAGTCCTTCGTATGCTATTTGTGTGCTTTTATCATTATTGCTTTCCTCTGAAAGGTTTCTTTTAAGAAAGTTAACCAAATTCAGTGTTTCAGGGGAGAAGCGAATTTTAAATTCCGTGTCCTCCTTCCATATCCTGTTGTATGAATGTGACTAAGCATTTTCTCAGCTTTCCACACTGTTGCTAGGCACTGAGCAGATGCTCTCATGGTGCTTTCTGAGTCAGTTCTTGAGTTTTCAGGGAACTGCACAGAACCTGTGCAAAACCTGTT